ACACGGGCACCGGTGGGGTAACTGGGGTTATGATGGAGCTGTCTCTTATACACATCTAGATGTGTATAAGAGACAGCCACTATTTGTGACATGCACAAATGACAAAAATCATGTCCCTGTATCTTTCCATGTTCGAGCGGAAGATTCACTCTGGTTTTGCACATTTCGAGATGAGTGGAGCGAGGCAAAACGAGAGTGAATCTTCTGCTAGAACATGGAAAGATGCACTGCCACGAGGCCCCAACGATGACATGCACACGTCAGGAAATCTGAGAAGGAGAAAGAAAAGAGAAAAAAAAAAAGAAAAGAAACTGGGTTGTTGTCAGCCCGTGTATCCCGTTGGGCCCCTTTATTCCCGTCGCACAAAAGACAAAAATCGTGGCGCTGTAGGTTTCCATGTTCTAGTGAAGATTCAGGGCCTCGTTCGACACCACTTGGAAATCGCTGTTTTTCAAGGAAGCGTCGTTCGACCCCGCCCTAATCACGCACCCTTGAAGTCTCTCATTGTTTCCACATCCTCGCGGCCAAGTGTCCGCCCTTGAAACAGAAGTGCAGCCCAGGCAAATCCACGAAAATCCGAAGGGTGCCTCGGGAGGTCAATTGGGGGGCAAGGGTTCCGCCCTTCACTTGGGGCGCAAGGATTTCACCCTTTAAAACGAGGAATATACGGACCTTTTTCTTATTTTCTTTTTTTCTCCACCAATCACCACTGTTCTTGATGCAATGCCGTCAGCACTTCAGTTTCAAGGACGGCCGTCTCAAGGGTTTCGTCAAGGGGTTGTGGAACGAAAAAACAAGTTAGGGGAAATTAATCACCTTCCGCGAGTTAGGGTGCCCTTGAAACTCAACTATTTTCAAGTGGTGTAGAAAGAGGCCCTCACTCTCTTTTTGTATATTTGGAGATCTGATTCAGTCGTGCTAGACCATGGAAAGATACAGCGCCACGATCGTTTCCTCTTTTCTTCTTGTTTCTTCTTTTTTTTTTGGGAAACGGTCTGGCCCTCAGACATGGATGACTAGACTGCAGTTAAAAACTCTGCCCTGCGACAGCCAGGCGACCAAGGAGTTTGGCCTGCAATGTAAACTTCAGAGGGGACTGGACTCCAGAAAGGAAATTTGAAATGTATTTTTCAAACTCCAACCCTGACCTCGCCCTCAGGCTAGTTTTCTCATATATATATTAACAAATAAGTTGGACCGAATCTACTAGCCATGGTGATACAAGCAGCAACCCCTAGTAGAGTAGTGTCCAACTGCTCCATCTATTGGTCTGTAGCAACACCTGCTGGAAATCAGGTCCAGCGTCCCGTAAACATCATTGAAATAGACTATGTTTCCCTTTATTTGAAAAAAAAAAAAAAAAAAAAAAAAGAATAAAAAAGGGGAACAGAAATGCCTCTTCACTCAGTCCTGGGACTACCAGATGTATCATTCCATCCAAGCTACCCTGTCCCCCTAGAAATCCATCACTTTCCTCCCTGGCAAAACCTACCAAATTGAATTGAAAGCTGCCTCAGAGAGGGGGGCAAATGGATCTGGAAAAAAAAAACAGGGGGTCCCTGAGAACAGCCCGTAAACCAATTGTGGTAGACCAGTTAGAAGTTCTTCTTGAGAGGACCCGCTCTGTCTCTTCCGCCCCTGGGCATTGCCCCTCCCCCAAGGACCGCTCTATTGGGCCTGAGGCTTCTTTGCTTTGAGACAGCCGTGCATACTTGGTTAACTTTTTGTTTGATTGTTTGTTTTTTGGCCCAAGATCACAACTCTTCTAGATGTCTAGATAAATCATAATTATTATAATATGTGATTACATCGTTATTCAGCTTTAAGTTAGTGAGGGAGACAAAGTGGCATGCCATTCGATCATTGGTGGTGAGATCAGCCTTGTACGGGAATTATGGGAATGGGAATGGGTTCCCAACCACTTCAGAATCTTTCATAGCGGCCACAGTCGGCCAATCATGCATGATGGTGATCAGGCATGAAGCAACGCGATAGTGTTAAAAGGGATAGCTAGGGATTATGAGCTGACCCGGAGGGGGATGTGCATTCTGCTCTGCTACAGAAGAAGAGTGAGGATTCTGAGGAATGGATGGATGGAGGATGTTGACTTGAAAATTGAAATGGAGATATTAAAGAGATCATGGAGGAAACTTAGGGAGTCAGGTAGCAAACTTGAAGGATATAAACGCAGGCAGACGATAGAGAGGATGCCGTACACTGAGTTTTTATGATTCTAATACCCCACCAGTACTTTCGAGGCACGGAGTTTGTACAAGACTGAAAAAAGGCACCCTGCGCGCCGAGCTTCGACGAACAGCCAGCACAACAATTTCTTTTTCTTTTTTGTTTGAGCTAAGTACGTTCATGTCACATCAGAGTTTGCAATTGGCAAAAGAAACATGCCCCAGCAACTTTGTCATGGCCTAGGTTCAAAAAAGCGGTTGTAACTCAGGCCGGCAGTAGGGTCACCATGAAAGTTGCTTATAGGCACTTGTGTGTCCACTCCCAAGTACCAGGCCATCCCATATATTTTCACGGTACTGCTCATTTCCTGAGTACCAGCGTTGTCTGCCGCGGCCCTCCGTTTTCCCATCATTCTATCGTGGCTACTGTCTCGAAAGACCCCCCACTGGAGTACTGCCTCCAAGCCTACGTGTCATGCAACACACACACACACACACACACACACACACACACGCACACACGCACACACACACACACACACACACACACACACACACACACACACACAGAGAAAGAGAGAGAGAGAGAGAGGAGCACAAACTGGCGACATGCGCCCACTCAGAACTCAGAGATATGGTACCGAGAACACAGTTCAGATTCAAGTTCACTTCGAATGGCTATGTGTGTGTGTGTGTGTGTGTGTGTGTGTGTGTGTGTGTGTGTGTGTGTGTGTGTGTGTGTGTGTGTGTGATGTGTTGGTGTCTCCAGATCTGTTGATGTCTGGGTTCCCTGTTTCCCCGCCAGTTGCGAGCCGGACATTCTTCGTCGAATTCATCGTGGAAAAACCCTTTGCACGTGGCACACCACGGAGTATCTGTAGCTGCTACTTCAATTTCGACTGTCCCGCCATCTGATGG